TCTATTCTATTCTATTCTATTCTATTCTATTCTATTCTATTCTATTCTATTCTATTCTATTCTATTCTATTCTATTCTATTCTATTCTATTCTATTCTATTCTATTCTAATTTTCTCTCCAGTGTCAAAACACTAATGGGTTACAATTTAATCTTACCGGTATTAGAAAAGTAACATTTTCAATAAAACACTATGATAATCGTATTTGCACTATGAGAAGCACATCTCCAATAGAAGTGCATATACATGGAAACCAAAAATCTCATTTCCAGTTTCCATCAAAAACTAGCAGGGACATAACATTTTGTTGATTTTGGTTTATAATCAAGATTAAGTTCAGGAAAAATTATGGAAAAAATTGACCAAATTTACTGGTTGAGTGGTTGCCTTGTAAGTCATCATTATTATGTGCAAAGTACAAGTGTTTCAGTAAACACAGTATGGTTTTCCAGAGAACATCTGACTATATACATGTATATATTAGTCTATGTACATGTATAAGCCATATATCTACAGTACAATCTGCACATAAGTTAATATTTAGCTGATTAACAATAGAAAATGATGGAACACGCACTCAAATAAACAATTCTGCGTCCCATTTAAAACCCATCCACATTCATAATAAGGTATTGATCTACATTCACGTCACCTTCATCAGTCTGATTACAAAATGATATACCTCGCAATATAAAAATTCGAAGACAGTATACAATTTCACAAAGGGTCAAATGGTCACACATCCTGGTACTAAAAAGACGTAGGTACTTACCAAGGTTACATAAGCTACTTTATAATCGGGTTCTGGTTTGATTCGTCTATTTAGGTGGTCTCGCCAGACCTTAGCAAACCTGATATGAGTGCTTACTTTAATAACAGGAACTTTGTAAATATTCTGAAGATAGTTCTTGATGTCAAACTTGGACATTCTGAAAATGAGAGAAATTAAAAATATTTTTTTGTGAATTTTGCTTACTGTAAAACATGTTGAAAAAAGCGACATGCAATTTTAGCGAATTGTAGTAAAATGTTGATTTAGCAAATCTGTTTTGTCATTGTTGATTTCCAGTTTTCAAAATACTTTTCTGTTGCGGGCCAAAACAAATGGGCAGTTATCACCTCCATAAAAACAAAGAAAAACTGTCAAGTGTTAGGAAGCGCCCCAGATTTTTATGTTCCAGATTACTGTATACAAATCCCGAGCCTTGGCCATTTTGAATTTATAATAAAGTTATTAGCGACATCTTGAATTAGCGAATAAGTTCTCTCGCTAAATTTGCTAAAAAGACATGCTCACGAAAAAGACATGTTTTACAGTACAGTACAGTTCTCGCGGAAGCTTTGGCTTCACTTCAGCTTCACCTTCGCTTCAGCATCGCATCATTATGGCATTGTTACGGCTTCAGCATCGCTTCAAAGTCGCGCCATTAAAAAGTTAGGCGATTATCGCTTCGCTTCATTGTGGCCTCATTATGGCGACAATGTGGCATCAGCATCGCTTCATCAAACAAAGAAGTTTAGTAACCGTGTATAGATGTTGAACAACCGTCAAAAGTTCAAATACTTTTTGTTTTAACTACTGTAAAGGGGTTAATTATTCACTGGGTTTTAAATTAGCTTATTTCGCTGACTGAAAAATGCGCTAAATTAAAACCCAATGAATATGTAAAATTTTGCATAGAACACATTATCTAAATGATAAAACCGTGAATTTAAAACCCACTGAATATGCCTGAAATGGTAAATCAGTGAAATTTAAACCCAGTGAAAATTTGTAACTTTACAGTATCTATAATTATATGCACGCAATCTGACCCTTTGACCTAGATTTGGCTTTGATTGAATATTTTATTTTAGACAATATTCCGACGTGACGCACTGCTACAAAATGTATTCAACTGAAGTACAACATGGTTGTCTGGGTTTCTTTTCCTGATTGTGTTGAGTTTACGATTTGTATAATTATTGTTGTTTCCCCCCAAGCAGAAGACAAGCCGAAGGACCATGAAGCTAAATAGAATT